CAAACTACTTGCAAACACCTGCTTTATAACCACATGCCACAACGGATCGTCTTTTGAAGTTGACATTTTTTGCGTCTCTCTTTTTCGTAGTTCTCCGCTGAAGGCAATTTTTTTTGTCTCGAATTTTACTCAACGAGTTTCACAAAGAAAGGTCTCGCGTTGAAAGCAAAAGTTTTTTTCTCTCTCACTATTCGATTGTTTAATCTTTGTCGCATCACACAAAAGTTTGAAAAGAAAACAAATCCACTTTTTTTTGCTTCCGAAAGAGAAATACAGGAAGAGATATAACAAAGCGCTTACCAAACAAACGCCGAAAATGAGAGAAAGGCAAGATTGGAAACAAAACGGAATTCTCGAAATTTGGCTCATTTCAGCAAACAAAATTGCTTGTGTCAGTAAGTCATCGGTCTGATAAATACCATAAAACGATTCAGTTTCATGCTTCGTGAATTGTTTACAATTCGGTATTTCAACGCTTAATTTCCCTCTTGGGGTGAGATAGAGATATTCACGTCGCATAAGGTATGGTTGTTGGCATGAATGTGTTTGTTTGTTTGTTTGGTAATTCGAGCATTTTTCCCTCACGATTCAGTTATTTTGTGTTGATTTAGCATATTTTCATCGTTTGCATGTATCATCAACCGAAGCATTCAAGCGATGCTTCACACATTTAAAGTGGACTCGAATGGTCGAATTTCATTTCGATGAATTCATTTATTTATATGTATTTGTGGCATGTAAATTTGGATTTCAAGCATTGATTCCCAAATCAATAGTCAATACATTCAAAATTGAGGAATGTTTTGCCATTGTGAATATTAATTTTGAAACCAGCATGCTCACACCATCGCATCCCGTCCGTCAGTCAGTCAGTTGCATTTCGTTTGTTATTTAACAAACATTTTGAAAATCGTCAAGAATTTTTAACGAGGTTGGAAAAATCGGAAATAATTTTTTTTAACAAAAGTTACGGTTTTTGGTATTGTCATTTACACCATATGGTCGAGTTTCGTAAAGTTTGAAATATGATTGCATAAACAAATGTGAAACGTGGTAAAAGTTTTAGCGGATCTCAATGTTTTTTTTTTTGTGTTTTTGTTGATGACAGTAACAGTTTCAATTTCAAACGTATACTTCATTGTGACATTCTCCATGAATGCAAGTGACTGTTTGAAAGCTAGCATTTAAATGCAAACACTTCGGGCTAAAAACATCGAAACAATCAATTCGAGTGAAATCAAAAATGCGCATTGAAAAGGTTAATAGCCGAAGAGTTGATAAATTGCATTATAAATTTAATTAAATTTTGGTATGATTTATTCGAGATTGTGGTTCTTTTTAAATTTCAGGTATCCGTTGTGGATGCACAATCCAATAACAGAACTTTTGAGCTGGGTCCAATTGATGGCATTAAAAGTGCAGTTTTAGTTGGTAGTTCTGAAAGTACGTGGTTAAAAGGTACAAAACTTTTTCCCAATTTCTTTTCATGACTTTTGGCCACTTGTTCTCTCTCTCTCTCTCTTGATTTTTATTGTTGCGAAACAAAAGCCATTCAAACAAATATTAATTACATGTTTTGTTTATATTTTTTATGCAGCAATAACATTTGCGCTGGGCTATTCGAATGATATAAAAAGTCTATCTCATGAGTTTCAAACTTTCAATGGTTCGGTCGAGATAACATTCAGCTCTGGTCAAAGCGATGTCGTTAAAGCATTTTTCGAGAGTTTTGAGGGCACAAAAACTGGCAACAAAATTACACTACGTCGCACCATTCAGCATCCAACACAACAAATCGAATATTTTCTTAATGGTTTTAGCGTCGAACGTGTGAAAGTGAAACATTTTTTGGAGACTTTTGGTTTTGCCGCATCAGTTCCGTTTCAGTACTCCTTGAACAGCACGGATATTGTAACAGCGGAGCTGAGCGATGATAAAGGTCGATTGCATTGGCTGAAAGATTGTTGTGGTGTCGACGAATTTTATCAAAAACGTGATAAATCACTGCGAATTCTAAATGAGACCGAACTTCAAATGGAGAAAATTGATGCTTCGCTGAAGAAAATCGATGTGCAGCTGACGATTTTTGCATCAAACGAAACGCAACAAATCTATCAAAGTTGGGTGATACGTGAAAAGGAACTTGGCCATTTCAAGCGGCTGTATCGCATCAAAGCGGTGAAAACAGAGTGTCAACAACTGAATGCCGATATTGAAAAGCACACCAATTTAATTACGGCAAATAAAACGAATCTACTGCAAAATGCGGAGAAAAGCAAAGAGAACCGACGACAAATGAAATTGATTGTGGACAAAGCGAGTGAATTGAGAATGAATGAACGGCATTTAATGATGCGTATTGAAGAGTGTGAACGTGAGAATCGTACGTTGGAAGATTCATTGGTCGATTTACAAAGTCTCGTTCAACAAGGTTCGATGGCCGAAGATTTATCGATGCAAGAAAAGCAAATGTATCGAGATAAAATCGAAGAAACCAGCAATCAAATGGGTGACATTGATGCCGAATTGCAACGCATTGCCGAAAATAAACATGAATGCGATGAAGAAATGAACGAACTTGATGCACAAGTCGCAACGATTCTGATCAATTGTCAACAAAATAAACGACTGAACACACAATTTCTAACGATTGCAAAACGAGACGAACATCTCACGGTGTTCATCAGACGCACCAAAAATGCCATCACTCGCGAAAATCGTAATGTAAACCGATTAAAAATGGAAATCCAAGGGGACGAAACAGAAATTAATTTACTTAAGGGTGAACTTTCAAAGTATAATGAACAGTTGCATGAAATGAATGCTGAAGATGAAACTCAATCATTTTATCAACAGCAAGAGACGCATAATAGCCTCGAAAATCAGAAAATGTAAGACATTCACTTACACAGAAAGCATTTATTTGATAAGAGAAAAAGAAATCGCTTCTATAGATAATCATTTTTATGTTTTTGTGCATTTTATACAGCGAACTCATGGAACAAAACGAATCCTTGTTGGAAAAATCGCGTGAGCTGAAACTTAATTTGGACGAAATTTACAAGAAACTGCGTTCGCGCATCGGTGATGTAAGTGATACCATTTGAAAATTAATTTTTCCTTTTTACTTTGTACATCTTGTATCCTTTTGTGTTGTGCACGCCAACAACAAACTAGTTTTCTCTTTGATCATTTTCAAGCGAAAAAAGAAGCACAGTGCATTTTAATGAAACAAAAAAATTATTATTAAAGAAACATCTTTTTTTTGTGAAAGAGACAAGATTCACTTTTCCTCCCTTTTTACCGTGAAAAGAAAAAATCTCTGAATTAATAACATACATTTTCTCTTTTCAGTCAATGTTTGAGGGATTTAAGTCGATGGAAACATTCATGCGAAAATATGGAAATAAACTGCAGCAAAATTATTACGGTCGTGTTATTGACATCTTTTCATGTGACGATCGGAATTTGCAGAAATCTTTGCCAAAGCTGATGGCTGAATACTTATTTTATTACGTCGTCGATTCACCACAAACGGCCACTCAAATATTGTCGAGTTTGAATGCGGCCCAATTACCGGGCGAAGTGAATTTCTTCGCATTGAACATCATCGACAGCAGTGAATTTAAAAAACACAACCTAATCTCACGTCTGTCATTTGATGCGAAATTCAAAAAAGTCTTTGAGTTAATCTTCTGCGATTTACCACCGAATTTGAATTGTTTCGAAAGTGCTCCAAATGAGTCGACGCATGAAGTCGTAACCGATTCGGGTTTTACAGAGAAAAGTGGAGCAATAATTGGTATAAATTGCAACGGCAACATCAATCCACTGGAATTGTATCAGGAGCAACAAAATTTGGCCGACGTGAATGAAGCTACCGAATATGAATTGAGTGAAAATTCGTATCGAATGGAAGTGACGGTCGAGCAAATCAATCAAACTGGTGAATGGTTACATCAACAACATCAAACAATGAGCAAAATTCAGCAGGTACAATTGTCCATTTCGCAACTAACGCGGACGATTAATCAACACGAGGGACGTATCCAACTTAAAAAAAGCGACTTGCAACAGCACGAAGCCAAACTGAATGAACTCACTGCAAATAAAAATCGTTACGAAAATGAAATGAAGTTGGATTTGTTGACGGAAGACGAGCGTAAAGCAATTGAACTGATTCAAGCCGCAATTGTTGAAAAGAGTGCCCAACTTCAAAAAGTGACCGCCGAAATGAACCAAGTACAAAAGCGTCGTGACAATATTTCCGACTATTTTGAAAATACTTTAGTGAGTCGGTACAGTGTATTGGAGGAGCAAACCATGATGCATTCAAATAATTCATCCGAACTTGATCGTCAAAAAGAAATTTTATTGCAAAGAGAAGAATTCAAGCAACAAATTGCTGTTGAATTGACCGAAATTCGAGCACAAATTTCTGAATTGTATGCAGAACACGAGGCGAAAAAGCAATCCCTCAAGGAATTGGAACAAGAAAAGTTGAACGTCGAAGAGACGCAAAAGTTAATCTATGGTGAATTGCATTGCATGAATGTGCACAAAGGGAATTTAACCAACGAAATGAATCGACTTCGATCACAAAAACCATACGATGCGACGAAAGTTCATAATCCAGATATTGTTGATATGTCTGAAGACGACATCAATAATCAACTACACATTGCAAAACATCAATTGAATACGTATGCAAATACTGAGAACTTTGACACGAATATGTTGGAAACGTTTACAAAGGACCGAGAAAATCTCAAGCGTCGTCGTGCTGAGCTCATACGAATGAAAACGAAAATTAAGTTGGCCATAAAAAAAGTGGAAGGAAACATCAAAACATCGATTCAAAGCACATTTGAAGACTTGGCCATGCGTTTTTCGAATAATTTTGCACATTTTGTGCCAGGCGGTTCTGCACGATTGCAATTGATCAAAATGGCAAATGAAAGAAGTGACGATGCAACTCAAAGTGCTGCCACAACTGAAAATGCTGTTGAAATGGCTGATAAAATAGCGGAGAATGTTGGTGATGCCGTTGGAGTTGATATCTTTGCTCGATTTGACGAAATTGAAGAGTCATTCAACAATTTATTCGGGCAGAAGCGCCGACTCGTTGCGTTGCTTTACATTATTAGTATGCAGCAACTGTTGCCGGCACCATTTTACCTGTTCGATTCAATTGAAGAGGTAATTCACACATCAACAATTATTTTGGATAAATATTGGTTGACATATGTCTTCAATTTTTTTTCTCTTGCATACAGTTGATTTTCGAACCGTATCTTGAACCATTGATCACTTACTTGAACGAGCTATCGAATACGTCGCAAATCATTGCATCAACAAGACGACGGGGCTTGGTAAATGGACCTAATTTTATTGATGATATATTTCGAATGACGGAAGGCGTACCACACGGAGACGCTGAAATGGTCTCTTACCAAGAAGACTGAATGCAACGACAACGAAACCATTAACACTCATTATTCATTTGGTTGAGTTCATTTTGAAAAATGTTCAATCGTTTTTTTTTATGAGCGGTAGTATTTTACGAACTCAGCATTGCTAAAAATGGTGCACACCGAGAGAGAGAAAGAGAAAGAAAGATGTCCAGAATAAAATACAAAGTTGTTATTTAATCGTATTTATTCGTCGTGTGCAGACACTTCAATAAAGTGCAACTTAAAGCGGGTCATAAAATATTGAACAAAAACCAGAATATTTTAGTTATTGTTTGAAAAGAAAGAGAAAAAACAAGCATATACTCTAAGGAATGTAGTTGAACCTTGTCAAAGCCACATGAACATAATACGTTGTATTTTTTTTTCTTTATGAGAACTTGTATATGAATAATATTTACTATAAAAACAACCGCATCGAAATTGTGAAAATCATTAAAATCCAGAAACAAATCCAAATGAATGTTTGGCACACAGAAGATATTATGAATTGAAGGAAATTGGAAAAACAAACGACAGCATATGAAAGCGTCACTCATTTTTTTTTCTTGTAAGGACATTCATGCATATTATGTACATTAGTCGTTACTGTAGTTTGCTGTGTGTGCAATGTGCACTTTTTTGTTGTGTCGTTCGAGACTGTTCAAAATTTTTATGAGAGCGAACAGTCATATCTACGCTCATTCGTTCCATATATTTCCGAATTGAAATCATTGTTGGTGTGGCATAACCAAACATAATAAAAATCTATTCCATTAAATAACATACGGTGTTGTTTTGTTCGAATGATGTTATTTTTGGTACAAGATGTTGGAGAAGTGTCGAAAGTTATGGCAATGAATATGAATCGTGCCGGATAATAATATATATGAGGTCGTTTCGGTATACATGGTCGGAGTGATGGGGAAAAATAATGAAAGATGTATACGCATGACACAGCAAGAAGTGCGAAAGATGAGGAGTGCGAGAGCTATATTCAAGTACACATGCAATTTGTTTTTATTATTTCCACTCAGTAAAGCGAATCGCGTCAGCCAAAGAAGATCTCAGCCGCTTCAATGTCGTCGTCGTCGTTGGCCAGAAGCATTGCATCTAGATTGAGAGCACGAATATTCATTCGCGCGCAATTGTTATTTTTCCTGCCATCAGACTGATTATGTTCATTGATGTTTACCGCATCACACACATACAAATAGCACGATGCACACAAGATTTCGATCCATCTTTATGTCATGAATCTTCGGTGCTCGCGCTTGTTTTACACATATCTACTGCTTTAGTTTTTTTTGCTCTTTATTTGCATTCATTATTCAAACCTCGATTTTGCTCTTGATATTTTACGCTCGCAAACGATGTGCTTACAAGCAATGAAACAAAAACACTGTTCGATTGAACCAACAGACACAATTTCATGTCTTCTTTGTCATCTCTTTGAGGCATTCACACATACTTCGATTACAAAGTAAATGCAACATAATGTGAATACATACCGACGACTTTTTAAGACGATGTGGTGTACCTTGTTGTAAATTATCTCTGTTTTTTTTTCGCTCGACATAATAACATGCTATCTCTGCCTTGTTTGCTTTAATCAAATTGCCTGCATAGAAGTCTTGTGCACCGGTAAAAATATTCATCATCAAAAAAATGGCATTATCTTGTTCAGTGTAAATTTTTGGTGGAAAAAAAGAAAGAAATCACCGGCAAGTATAACAACATTGTCCTAGTACCCATCGGTACGATAAATCGACAAGATCAAATTTATGTTTATGACTCTGAAATTTGTGTATTATTTAAATTTCCAAATCACAACCCAGAACTGAAAGCAACTCTTTTATTTATAGAGAGCCAAAGCGACACATTGTTCGGCAGCGATTTTTTCAATCTCTTTCTCGGTATTTCCCTGCGGAAAACACATAAATTTTGTCTCTCGATAAAAACGTCAAGAACAGAACAAACCGAATATGCGACCGTTTCTTTTTGCTTTCGTCGTTCGTTTTTGAATGAAAAAAAAGAAGACATATTTTGAGCATCTTCGACAAAATCTCTCACAACTGACTGATAATTCAGTGCATTAACACACTAGAACTAACGACATTCGCTATGGCATAGGCCGGCCTTAGAAGAAACACGACCTTTGCTCTTGATCTTGATATTGAATGAGTCTCGAATGACGGATACACCGATTTTTTTTTAATTTTCTAAATGATGCTGCGCTATTCTGAATTTTCATTTCGAGATAACGTTTTACTATATATATATTGGTGTTCAAAACGAATCAGACATTTTTCACGCATCATTTCGATGAATAATAATTTTAATGGGATCGTTCATTTGTTCACACAAAGGGTTCTTGGATCTTAAAAGTCGAACGAAGATGAACAAAAAATCGTTTGAAGATGTTCATGTTAATCGCTTGACTTAGCACAACATATGGCAAAAATTCAATAAATCGCTCGAAAATTGAGCTCACAGCGCACAAAAGAAAAAAATGTGTTGTCTTTCATTCTTGTAAAGTAATTGCAATGGTGTTTTGAAACTTGAATAAATCAAATCGAATTGAATTTTCAAGCCTTTCATTTACATTAATTCAATGATGTTTTTTTCGCCACCTTCTTTAGAGCACTTGAAAAGGTCATTGTATTTTGTGAAGAAAAAAAAACAGCAACTTAATTTGCTCATATTTCAACACCATGGTAGTTGTTATGAAGTGATTCTCATTTAATTTCCAAATTTATGTCTGAGAGCAAACACTCCAATTACTCTAATTATGCCATTGTGCTTCTATGAATTCGCAAAAATAAATAATAAAAATCACCACTATTTCGATGGACTTTGCTTTTTCTATCCAGTAGACGGTTCATCATGGAAAAGAGCTGACTGGATGTGCATTTTATTTGAGTGACAAGTATCTCACAATAACAGTTCGTACGACACTCATGTCTCGCATTTTTATTTATATCTGATGTCATCAAAATGCGAGACAAAGACCCTCGACTTCAAACATCGCACATTGTTTTTTCGTGAATGAAAAATAAAACCACAAAAACGACATGAGCGCTTTCGGAATCGACCATCATCTGTCATAGTCATGTAATTTGTCGAATTTTTCATTTCATCTAATAAACGAGTGACATCATGAGATGTACGAAACGAGAAAACATTTTTATGTCTCTTGTTTCCTTTAATTTTTGCCTTAAGTGTAGTTAAACCAAATGAAAACTGTTGCTGGTTTAAATATGAAACCCAGACAACTGAGCATGTATCATTTTCGGAACGGTCCACAAATAAATTGACACGTTATTTCCTCCAGTTTTATATTGACATGTTTTGTCTTTATATCGCTTTTTATTTTTATTTTTTTGACTCGAATGCAACAATAAATGGTCGTTTTTTCACATTTTTATATGGTGTTTTACTGTCGATTAATGAATTCAGCATGTGATGAAGGTTTGCTACTGCAGCCCACAGATAACAGACCGTTCCGTTCTTTGAAGTAAAGGGGAAATGTAAAAAAATGGAAATAAAATGCGTCATTCTTAATTTAAAGCAAAAAGTATACGTTATTTCCGCACAAAACTTCCAAAAGAATGATTGTAGCACGTAATAAACAAATTTCGACAAGAACTGCTCTCTTTTTCAGTATAAATTGCTTTTTTGATGCTGCAAAGCGCTGCAAAGTGGTAATTAAACACAATATGTTGAGCAATACCAATCATTTGTAGAGTGTATTCATAAAAAAAAAAAAAAAATGACGTTGAAAATCGGGAACTTCATGTGTGTTCTCGTTCGAATCAAAGGCATATGAAAAATGATAAAAAAAAACAGTCGAATTTATGAGCTCTTTTTTCCAAAGCCCATCGGAACCAACTAATTTATATAGGACTAAAATGAAGCGCAAGTGAATGAGCATAACAGATGCAATTTTCATGTATATAATTTGTAATGAGCCAAGATACAAAGATAACATTCTGAATGTGTGCCATATACGAGAAACTAAACATGTGACACAAAACAAGCCTACTGTTCGCAGTTGTTTGAATAGCAGTATTGAACTATATTAAATACGAACCACAAAACAGTTAACAATGCATGCAAATGATACTAAAACATTCCATTTAGATGGCTATATGAATATATATGACAGTTTGTATGCGGTCGCATGCTGCCTTCGATCGTAATCGTCTCGGTAGGTGCGTACATGAGCGTGCGTTAGGTGTGACATTTCTTCGGGTCCAAATTATTGCTCACGATTCTCTCATTTAAAATATGCATATTAATGGTGTGATGTTCGGCAAAGTAGAACGAGATACAATCATTCGATTGTCATCGCAAACAAGCCAACTAACTAACCGAACGACCAACAAACTGCAATCATGCACACATCTCTCCGTCTTGTTGTATCCGGAATGTCAAAATAAACGCCAGTTTATTCCAAGAATATTGAAAAGAAACATTTGAAACCAAAAAAAAAAACGGTATTTCTCTTTCTGTATCATAGCATTGGCTAATGATTTCTTTGTTGTTTCGTCACCAAGCGGTTTTGTGACATCCGATATTGCACACAAACACATACATTCAATGTGTACCGTATACGCTGGAACTTGGTCTCGTACATTGAAGAAAGCATAAAACAAAACGATTGATTTTATTGTTTACGAACGAAGAGAAACCGTTGAGAAATTGTTTATTGCTTTGCAATGCTCTGTTTGAGTGTGCATTTTATTTATCGAAGAAAATCATACTGCGTGTTAGCGTTCTCAGTCGGTTGACAGACGAAGAAAAAAAAACTCAACGTATCTGTGTGCACACACACACAGAGAGAGTGTAGTGTGCGATTTGACACTTTGGTTTTCGACATTTTTGCATACATCTTTGACAGACAGTGAATCAGTTCAAAGGAGTGTATAAATGAGTGAACATCACATGGATGATAAAACAAAACCAGACGAAAATTGTGAGTCTATAAATATGGCGACGCCAGAGTTGAATGTCGACAAAATTGTGGAAATTTTTCGCGAAATTGTAAAGCGCAAGACAGCGTACAATGAAACAAATCTGCATTACGAGTACTTTAAGCGGGTTGGTGATACAATACCATTCAAATCACATGGATACTCATCGTTGCGCGATTTGATTCAGAAAACTGCCGGCGATCAATTTTACTTTGAACGAGTCAGCAAAGATTTGGAATTCATTGCACCCAAACGGATCGATCACGATTATTCAACGGTGAATAAGGCATTGAAAAAGGTTACAACGACGGTGTCGACAAATGGAAAAGATGAATGCTACAGTATATGTTCGGATGCAACAAAACGTATACGAGTATCGAATAATATTATTTTTGGCCAACCAAAATCGACGGGAATCAACAATCCATTCCAGAATATTCGCAATGACATTAAAATTTCGTTCGATTTTGGCGCACAAAAGCGTGAAGTCGATTGCCAATCGACAACAATTGATGCAAGTACCATGGAACAAACAGAGAGCGTCGCAAATGACAAACAACAGCTGGCTGAAGATGATGTGACTTGTGGCGGCACTTATTCAACGGCACGAACCAAAGTTGAACCAATGATCATAGAAGAAGACACCGATAATTTTCCATGGGACGATAAGTATTGGCACTTGAAAATCTCGCATGTCAATTCAACAAACGAAGTGTGGGCACGGTTCTTTGATAAATTTGATGTAAGGAAATGAATTTTTTTTTTTTATATTCTCGAAAATCGACGAAAATCTTTCTGAAGTGTGTGAATGATAATTTGTTTTTACTGTTTTCAAGGAACAAATGCGTAAAATGACATCAAAACTCATTCAAACGATCACCGCCAATCCGAAACGCTGTCGAATCCGAAGCAATGATGATTTGTATGTGGTGAAGGATAAGCAAAACTACTATCGCGCGACTGTACTGAAAATTGAGCCGGAAATTGTTCAGTGCAAGTGTTTTTTAGTCGACATTGGCTGCGTCAAGTGGTTTGATGAAGACGAAATTTTCATATGTCCACGTGAATTCCGTGACATACCAGCATTGGCGATGCGTTTCTGTTTGTACGGTTTGGTTGAATTCAAAAATAGCCGAAGTGCCAGCGAGATTACGGTGAATGAGTTGTCAAACAAAGAGCTATGGGCCAAAATTAAAATCAAACCAAAGGATTTCTATAAACAAACCGGCAAACACAAGCCAATTCCGGTCATTTTGTACGATACCATGAATCGAAATGCACGCACAAATATCAGCGCTGACATAATGGAAAAAATTGTGGCCACATTTAAACCGCCAAAATTGTCAAAGACACGCACAAACTACGTTTCAATCACGCACATTTCAAAGGTGACCGGCAACATTTATTGCCATTTGATCAACAGCATGAACGATTTGAAGTATGTGATTGGAATGATCGATGCGGTGGTTGAAAATGGAGTGCGCCAGTCATACGAGCATTTTGAATCCGAAACGGATTTACACGAATTGTTAGCGATCAATGCGAATAAATTGTATTTGATTTATTCGGAACACGATCAAATGTGGTATCGGGCCACAATTTTACAGTTGGAAACTGATGTGAGCGAATCAACCGAGAAGAATATTTGCCGTCAATGTAACGTTTACTGTTTTCTGGTTGATTACGGAAATACACGAGTTGTGAATTTGACAAATGTTTATGATTTGCCGGGCATTTTGGCACGTTATCCACATCTTGCGGTTGCCATTACATTGGATGGTGTACACATGAGTCGCACCAAAATCGATCAATTGAAGATGCTCCTATTGCCCGGAGACAATGTTTTTGTCGATGTCATCGAAACGATGAACTGTGGCGATAGCAACAAAACCAAAACGGTTTCAGTGGCAAAAATATCGAAACTTGAAAAGAACATGGTGAACAACGAAACGTATGTGTCTGATATCAATTGGAAACTTAAGAATGGCCACTAAATGAAAGAGAAAAAACTGTTTGAAAATGAAGCAAATTCAATCTGAATTTTGAAATAAGCACTAAAAATTAAGATTTAAAATTTTGACAACAAAAAAGAGAAAAACGATGACTTATTTTAAAATAATAATGTTATTTAATTCGAACGGAATTTCAATAAAGACATTTTTTAAAAAAATAAACACCATTGTTATCTTGTCGCTTGATATGTTTTTGAATAGGTTTAGGAAGTTGGCGAGAAAAGGAGCATTTAAGTCGATTTGTTGACGATGATATTAAATTGATAATCTTGGAAATTCGATTCGGTTCACGTTCAACTATGAAAGGTAAGACGATAAAGTCCTATTTGAAGGAATTTTCTGTTACATTCTTGAATATTTGCTCATAAATCTCTCGCCGAAAGCACTTTTCTTATTCTGTTCAAAAAAAAAAGAACTCGAATAAATCCGTCTAGTCATACGATTTATCCGTTTAGTTGTCATCGTTGCTCCAACAATTCGAATGCACATTCAATGCAACGTAGAGAAAGTTGAAGAACGAGAAAAAGAGAGAAACAGGGAGTGGGTGAGATAGAAAGCGAAAGAGAAATATGAATGACCAAGAAGGAAACAGAGGAAGAGATAGAGAGAGTCGTTAAAGACAGAAAGTGAAAAAAAAACCAGCCGACAGTAAAATCCTGATATACATGTGCGCGCTCAATAAAATTGAATCAACAATACGATGGCGATTATTTGATCAGTGTAATTTTAATGGATTTGTCGACTGTCGAAATGTATTCGTGTTAGTTTTTATTCATTTTTCCTTGTCTGATTTCTTCTAAAAACTCCAAATTGCTGACCATCTTGCTCATCTGAATGCTCCCTCTCTTTCTTCGTCCCTCCCTAAAATTTGACTGTTTCACCACCATGAAACACACACCATCACATTCACGAACACAATCAAATTCTTTCGTTATTGTTTGCAACGTAATCCGATTATTTTATTTCATCTTTCTCTCTCTCTCTTTGTCCATGTTTCGAGCAAAAGAAAAAAGTGTCTGCATCAGTTTCGAGAAATGAAATCAAAAATAAATGTATTTCACCACGACTACACACCGATTCGATCAAATTCAGTTTGTTTATCCACTGATGTCCGACAATATAGCCAGAGTTTTATGGCTAAAATTGCATTTACGCCACTGATTGACAAAACCACATTGAAAACGAAAAGCGAAAAAAAAATCAATTCAATATAACAAACATTTCGGGAATATTCGGTTTGATGGCCGTTTTTGTGACATAACAATGGATTTGGATTGAAGTGAATGGGAAAATCGACTTTCATCGAATGGCATTTCTCTTTCTCCCACAGTAAATCTAGCCAATTTGTCGGAATTCCCAGTTCATCAAAGGATACTATTACAATGACCCCTTTTGTAAAGTTTCACAATGCAAATTCTCTGTTGTAACATTACATCGGTATATCACTTCCGTATGCAAATTGGACATGAAAGACAAAAAATAAATCTATTTGTATTACGCAAAGATCTGAGATTACAAAACAAACAGCAGTAAGCATTGAAATGTATCATAATGCTAAAGATGTTGAATCAGTTACACAACCAAGCATCCAGTCTGTTCGTTTGTAGAAATTAGAACGATGTTTACAATCAAAAAGTGTGCAGAAGTAATGAACATCAGGCCAACAGGCATTTAAGTTAACTGTATAACAAATGTTTGTGAAAAATCAACATCACACTCTAAATATCACATAAGGAACATAAATAAACATTGAAACACATCCATCCGATGGCCATTTGTTGAATTTGAAGCATATTGTGTGCGATTCGAACACATTTCAACCACAAACGAATGCATTAAAATATTGAATTCATGATTTCTGTTGACGTCATAGATTAAATGGATTTTATGTATTGAAAAATTATATTGAAAAAAAAAATACATATTTTCACTTGGGCCATAATCACAGTTCCTACGCGATTGCAAAATATGATTAAATTTCAATCAATGTCGGTGAATTAGTAAGAAAAGACTTTCAAACACATTGAGCATTTTTTTTATCATTTCTCAATGGAAATGCCAATCACCGGGTTTATTCTGAAATAAATAAAATTATGCTAATTCAGTCAAAAGGAAAAGAGAACTCAATATTTCGCCTCTGTTGTGATATGAAAATGACTGTGGAAAAAAACAAACAACAATCTCTCTGTGTTGATGCTCATGTCCAATATTGATGCTTATGCAAAAAACGAACCAGAAAAGCCATTTACAATACTTTTTTCCAAAAAAAAAAAAAATCAATTTTGCCCATGTTGCTCTGGTTGAGCTAACTTGATATATGCCACTTATATACTTCAAAATTCGTCAAATGATGACAACACAAAAATGTATAATTTAAAAACCTCGACGCAGAAGTGACCACCGAATGAATTCCATTGTTATCGTTATTTGTTTCTTATATTGAAATTTTTGAATTAAAGGTGAAGATTTTGAATGGAAAACGGTTCAGATACGTAAATAAAAAGAAAGATACATAAGGATAAGGCATGTGTCAAGACGTGACTGCATGATAAAATTTGCAATTTTTAAGCACGTCCATTGCATAAACAGACACTTGTCAAAGTCGAAAATGTTTTTTTTTTATTTATTCATAAAACTTATGCGGCCAATGTCCACTGAGTATGCAAAAATTGCATCGGTTGTGTTATGCAAAATGAATGTGATTGTTCAGTTGCACGGAATTTCAATATTTCGATTAAAATCCAGTGGAGAGCAGTTCATATATGGGCAAAGATTATTTATTTATATATAAGGTCATTGTCAAAGTTGTGTGTTTGTTTGAATTTCGGAGAATTTGCGATCGATAAATGCCAACGGGCAAAAAAAAATGTTCATTGCTATTTATGTGTGCCCGTATTCGAACGAAACAAGAACAAACAATCTAGTTTCGATGTTTTTATCCATGTCTCAATTGGGTTTGGTGTATATGCAGTATTCCATAATGAACTTCATCTTTATGGATAATATTTTTCTATTTTCTCGGTTTGAAAAACCAGTGTCATGGCTTCTCGGTTTAAAGAGCCGGCTACTGGGATTTGAAACAAATTTAGTGGATAAAGTTGGTATTTTCATTATTTTCCAGATAGGATTTGGGGTTTTGTGTTTATTTTCCGTATTGTTTACGAAATCCAATTGGCTTGTGTACTGCAGGCGCTACGATGTATGTAGAGATTCAAGTTGTTCTTGATTTAATTGAATCTAAAGTGCTTTCAGTAATTAAAAATAGATTAACTTCAAAACGAAATTAAATGAGCAGTTCGAGTGCATTCAGTTTTTTTTTCATCAGAAAATGAGAAAAAAATGATATTGAAGCGTTTTTTTCAAACACGTTCAATGATTCCTTTTTTTCCAATTTATAGACAGAGAAAGCGTTGTAACTGCCAATTTTCAATGTAATTGGATGCCACTTCCTGCTTGTAGATGAAAAATGTTTTGAATCAACACATTCACCATCTTTTTCATTTTCAATGTAGCTAAATCATTTGTCTGCATGTTCAAAGTTGTCCAGTTGTTGCAAACTTTAACATATTCCACCCATTTTACACATATTTTGACATATTGCAACACGATTCTACACTTTGACCAACGCAAATACGAGAAACGATAGATGCACAGTACGGTGAACGAGCAACACCAAGTTCAATGATAAAATAAAACGATATCGACAAACATGGATTTTGTTTGGGCTTTTGTCGATTCGATGCACAAATAAAAGAGATAGCGACTCTTATTTTTCCTTTAATTTTAACAGTGTGTCCATAACATATAGAAATAGCACTAAATAGTGTCGATATCTATACTATATCGGTGCACTATATATGGAAGATATTTCCGCAAGACACCGTAACTCACAATCGAAGTGAGTGCGAACGGCAAAAATGTTGACGCATACACACAGTTCTTTCTACTGCCGTACGGCAACTTGTGATTTTTCCCGTCTACACTCACTTCGATCGTGCGATACGGTACCGTGCGGCAATATCTTCCATATATAGTGGACCGATATAGTATAGATATCGACACTATTTAGTGCTATTTCTATATATTATGGACACACTGAATTTTAAACATGCTGGCGACTTTTCTGGCCACACAATACTACATTGCACGCGCGCGTACACACACAAACACATCCTACGGTTTTCTGAGTTTGAATTTCATGAGAATTGCCGACGATGGCAAAGAACATTGCATATTTGTCTTCTTATTTTCAATCGTGTGTGCACAATTCTTGGTAAAGCACTTAAGTTTTCTAGTCAGAATCAAACCGAAGCGAGTTAAATTCATGTGTAATGGAACTTTGTTACAAAATCTACTCAATCAACATCGATATATTGAGTATGTGTGCGAATAAAAGAAGAGGCAAAATGATAGAGAAACTTCGATAAAACGATGGAGATGAGAGAGCGAAAAAAAAAATAGATAGCAGTTGGCAGAAAAACAATCTTTGGCTAACGCTAATAATGTTTTGCGTACGCGTTGCCATGTAGAACATTGGCATTTTGCATGGATATTAGTAACACAACAAACACGAATCAAAATGTTATTTAATGCACTATTACGATCGGCGAAACGGAATTTTGCGGAGCGCGTCTATCAGACACAAAACAAGCACTGTTGAGTGCAGATTTTCGATTCACTCTGCCATGCCATACAAAAATCCAGTATGTACGTGAAGCATCGTCGAAAATTCACACAGCAACAGCTACACCAAAGGAAACTGCATTTCAAGTTTAGCATTTAACATTGGCATTACGTGATTTCTTATTGTTGTACACGGATCAAAGCACACACACACACACATACAGACAAATACTGAGCGAGAAGATGTGAGAGAATCAGGCACCATTTATATTTCGAATAAAGTATAGTAAAATTAGTTGGATTTGCACTTATTCGCATATGTTTCGTTTATCTCGCAATAAATTTGCGTTTTATTCGCTTCGATTATTTGAATCTGGATTGAGATCGAGACGTTGGAAAATTGCAAATATCTTTCTTTATTTTCTCTTCGCTCTTTCTCTCTCTAACCCCCATCTCTCTAAGATCTAAGTGTATCTTACGAAATCTTGGCGTTAGACAGCATTCATTTCAAAATATTCCATTTCGAACGATAGTAATGC